CTTTGTAACGCTACCAGATTTATTATCAAAAGATTACCATCTAACATGATCGAAGCTGAAGTATTAACAGGGTCTGCAGAGGGAGAGGTTGTCCTGATTCCAAGAATTAATTTGTCCCCATCTGACGCTGGCATCCCATTTAAATTGATTCGACGACAGTGTCCCGTGATGCCAGCATTTGTGATGACTATTAATAAATCATAAGGACAAACTCTAGTCAAAGTAGGCATATTCCTACCTGAACCCATTTTTGCACATGGTCAGTTATATGTTTCTTTCTCTCGAGTTTGAAGAGCATGTGATGTTACAGTTAAAATTCTAAGTACTTCATCACAAGTGAAATTAGTCAAGCACTCTGAAAGTGTTTTCTCTCTTAATGTGGTGCACAGGGAGATATTAGAATAAGTTTAATCACTTTATCAGTCATTGTTTGCATCACTGTTGTTTTCATATCATGTTTTTGTTGTTTTCATATCATGCCTCTGTTGTTGTTATATCCTTTTGTTACTGTTTATTTATTAATAAATTTATATATTATTTTCATATACATTTTACTAATTTCCTTTAATCTCTCACACTTCTATTATAGAGAAAGGGCAAATAGCAATATTAAAATATCTCCGCTAATTAATTCCCTTTTTTTAAAAAAATATATTTTATTGATTTTTTACAGAGAGGAAGGGAGAGGGATAGAGAGTTAGAAACATTGATGAGAGAGAAACATCGATCAGCTGCCTCCTGCAAACTCCCCCGGGGGATGTGCCCACAACCAAGGTACATGACCTTGACCAGAATCGAACCTGGGACCCTTGAGTTCGCAGGCTGATGCTCTATACACTGAGCCAAACTGGTTAGGGCAATTAATTCCCTTTTAATGTGCATGAATTTCATGCACCGGGCTACTAGTCTATACTAATAAAAAGGTAATATGCTAATTTGACTGGGAGACCTTCCAGGAGAACTTCCGGACGTTCTTCTGGACAAAGCCATGGTTGCGGGGCCAAGGTAGAGGCGGTTAGAGGCCAAGAGGGAAGGGCAGTTGTGGGTGATCAGGCTGGTGGGGGGCAGGGCCATTGGGGGTAAGCAGGCCAGCAAGGGGGGCCGTTGGGGGCAAGTAGGCCATCAGTGGGGGTCAGTTGGAGGTGATCAGGACAGCGAGGGGGCAGTTTGGAGTGAGCAGGCAAGCAGGGTGACAGTTGGGGGCAAGCAGGCCAGTGGGGAGGGGAGGGAAGGTTGGGGCGAGTAGGCTAGCAGAGGGGGCAGTTGGGGGCGAGCAGGCCGGCAGGCAGGCAAGCAGTTAGGAGCCAGCAGTCCCGGATTGCGAGAGGGATGTCCGACTGCTGGTTTAGACCTGATCCCTGTAAACCAGCAGTAGTACATCCTTCAAGGGGTCCCAGATTGGAGAGGGTGCACGCTGGGCTGAGGAACACTCCCTCCCCCTTGCATGAATTTTGTGCACCGGGTCACTAGTCATCAATAAATCAACAAACCAAGTATTTGCAAGGATGTGGAGAAAAGGGAACTCTTGTCCATTGTTGGTTGGAATGCAGATTGGTGCAGCCACTGTGAAAAGCAGTATGGAGTTACCTCAAAAAATTAAAAATGGAACTACCTTATGACCCAGTGATCCCACTTTTGGGACTTTTTCTGAAGAAACCTGAAACACTGATTTGAAAGAATATGTGCACCCCTGTGTTCACTGCAGCATTATTTATAATTATCCAGATTTGGAAGCAGCCCATTTTGCTATTTCTCTTTCACAACCTTGACCATCATTTAAAAATTACACAAGAGAGATGGTTTGTGTTTACCACTGTGTTTGCCCCTTGAGTTCTTCTTTTTAAAATTTCTTTTCTTTTCTTTATTGATTAAGGTATTACATATGTGTCCTTATCCCCCCCACTCATGTCTTGCTGTCTGGTATGCTCCACCTTCAGGTAGCTGAGTGATTCTCTTCTACATATTCTTCAGGCCTTTGCTTATTTATCATCTTCTCAGTGAGGCCTTTCTCCACCACCTTATTTAAAATTAATCCATCTCCTCTGCTTCTTTCTCTTTCCCTTCTGTTTTATTTTCTGCCACAGCATTTATTTAACTAACATATATATATTTTACTTATTGTTTGTTTGCTTGCTTGCTTGTTATGTTTCTACCCAGTAGAATGTAAGCTCTATAAGAGCAGGAATTGGTGTCTGTTTCATTTGTTGTTGTATCCCCTGTGCCTCAATATCTGTTGGGTGGATGAAGGATGATGAATGGATGAAGGATAATGGATGGATGAATGGATGGATGAAAAGTATTTATTCTGGATTTACAGTTGAGAAAACTGAAATCATGTCTCTTAATTGTTACAACCCATAGTGCCCACCCGCATACTCTGAGTGAGCCATGAAGGACTCTACAAATAATCATAAATTTCATGGACTGCATGACACTCTTAAACTGGGACCGAGATGATCACTTTGCAGTCCAGGGTGATAGGTGGAGAATGTCAGTCTTAATTCATGATCAAATTTTTATTCCTATCCTCACTCAGGTCTAATAATGAGGCTAAAATAGGAATTGAAAAACTGTCGTTATTCCATCCCTTCCATTCTATTTGTTCTACTCCAAACTTGAAACAGGTATATCCCCCACCCCCTCTACTATCAACTTCCTACTAACTATGATTTGAACAGGGCTTGGTGATAGGCCATAGCACTAGGTCTGCTTTCTACCAGGACACAGCTTTCAGGGGGCCAGAGAAGCATGAGTGGAGGAGAACGGCCACAGTAGTATCTCTATGAGTCAAGCCATGCTAATAGCTCTGGAGAGAAGCAGGGACAAAGACAGCTTGTGTATGGTAGCTTCGCAGGGGTCTTGGGCCATCATAATAGGCAAAATTATACCCTTACTGCCCAGTCTTTGAAGAATCCTGGAAATTAAAGATAATGGCTGTCATATTTATTGATAAGCTGAATTCATACCCCTTGCTGTTTTCCTATGAACAGCAGTATTCTGATTATTCCAGTTTTTATTTCTTCCTCCAGTATAGCAGTTTCCCTAGGGCTCCATCACAAATTACCACACAAGTGTTGCTTCAAACACCAGATACATATTCTTTCACAGCTCCGGAGGCTAGAAGTTCAAAATCAAGGTTTGGCAGGGCCACATTCCCTCTGATGGCTGCAGCCGTTGTCTATTTCAAGCTAGATGTAGTAAGCAAAATTCTAAAAGGTCCCCCAATATTTGAATGTGATAACATTCACATAATTGTGTTATATTGTATGATAAAGGGGATTTTACAGATATAATTAAGGTTCCAGATCAGCTGACCTTAAGATAAGGAGGTCATTCGGTGGTCCTGACCTAGCCACATGAACCCTTACTTGTGTTACTTCTGTTTGTTAGACAGTCACTTGTACTGAAGATGATGTAGAAGAAAAAAATAGGGCAAACCATAGTTTCTTTTCCTTTTGGCACAACCTTATTCATCAGTAAATCAAATGAAGAACATGTTGGAAGAACGTGTATACATCAAGAAGTGAAATAAAAACAGTTGAATTAGTTTTGTGCAATGTTTCCACTGTCCTGGTAAAACAACATACATCTGTGTGTATGAGCTCCAAAATATGAGTTGTGTTATGTTCTCCTGATTTTCCATATGAGTTCAATGCTCTCCTATTTGCATTTAAAACTGATACTGCATAATAGAAAGATGAGCAGTAAAATTCATGCTAATAACTTACCATTTTGACATTAAATAACAAATAAAAACAGGTGTGACTAGTTGAGAGAGAGACAGAGAGAGAGACCCTGGAAAAAGGAAAAAGATTTATATGCAGTACCTTTATTGGCATCTTTCCCCTGCTTTTTGGACAAGGGCCCCTGCATTTTCATTTTCCACTGGATTCTACAAATTACTAGTATGTAGTCAGCCACAGAGTCAGATTTCTCACTGTAAGAGATGACAACTATGAAAAGATACAAACCTAGAATGGCCCCTGTGGAACAGGATTAGAATTAGTGTGAACTCGTGGTTTTCCATAGAGATAGATTGGCATAGAAATTGAGATGTAAAGATTTGTGGAACTATAGATGTGTATGTACCATTCTCCATTAAAAGAGACTAGGGTTGCTTGGAGAAATATCTAATTCCAGGGTTGAAGCAGGGAATATATTTTTCCACCAGAAAGTGAGGGAGTGCTCATGAATGAGGGGGTCCTGGCTACAGGAACAGAGGCCAGCTCATTTAGAGCATAAAAATTAATGACACTAATGGATTATGATCCACTGAATAGAAGAGGGGTCTGTGAGACTGAAATAAATAAATGAAAATTAAAAGTTTTCCTCACAGCATATTGCCAAGTATAAATATAGAAGAAACAATGGGCAATCATATTAATAACTAGTCCATCCAAGAAACACCAGCGGGTACTGAGGAATAGGATATTTACCTAATCTCAAAGTACCTCTTCAAAAAAATGCTTATTAATTACAATTATGGACTGAATGTTTATGTCCCCCCTCAATTTCGTGTGTTCAAATCCCAACACCCAATGTGATGGTATTTGGAGACAGGACCTTTGGGAAGTAATTGGGTCATGAGAGGGACACCCTCATCAATGAGATTAGTGCTCTTATGAGGAGACATGGGAGATCTCTCTCTCTCTCTCTCTCTCTCTCTCTCTCTCTCTCTCTCTCTCTCTCTCTCTCTCTCTCTCTCTCTCTCTCTCTCTCTCTCTCTCTCTCTCCCTTCCTCCCTCCCTCCCTCCCCTCTCCACCACATCAGGACACAATGCGATGACCATCTGCAAACCGAGAAGTGGGTTCTTATCTGACACTAGATCTGTTGGCACCTTGATGTTGGACTTCCAGCCTCCAGAACTGTGAAAAATAAATGTTTGCTGTGTAAGCCACTCCAGTCCATGGTAACTTGTTACAGCAGCCTGAGCTGACTAGGACAATTACCAAGGGGCAAAGAGTGACTTTACAGTGGAGAAGCCTGGCAGATCCCTTATTAATTTTCTTTTCTTTTCTTTTTTTATTGTCTTGCTAACATTGCAAACGCCAGTCTCTGGACATCACTAGAAAGAGCAGGTTGTGAGGCTCCACCTTTTGAGCAGCCCTGTTGCCTTCTGCGTGTTGGCTCTCTGCACATTGCACTCCCACGTCCAAATACAATCTTATCCATTGTGAAGTTGTTGGTCGAGGTCGCCACACCATGACTTCACTTACGTATCTTCCTCAGCCTGTCTCTGGATTTGGGGCTTTGGCCTTCTGTTGGCACAAGCAAGACACATTGTTGTCACTCTTCCACCAGGGCAAAGGCTGTGGAGTCATAAGAGGGGTCAGGCTTCTGAAAATAAAAACATATCCACAAGCCCCAGCTCATTCTTTCTCTTACCAACCTCTTTCCTTGGTTTTAATGATTCTAATAAAGCAACACAGGCCTCACTCATACATATTCTTCAAAATAAATCAAGTGCCAAGTATTTTCTTCAAAGTCCAGACACAGAGCCCTACCCTGTTTTGCTCATTGGCTAGAGGATCTCGGGTTCGACTCTGGTCGAGGGTACATACCTCAGTTGCAGGTTCGATCCCTGGTCCTGGCTGGATGCATGTGGGAGGCAACCAATTGATCTGTCTCTCTCTCTGTTTGTCTCTACCTCTCTCTTACGCTCTCTCTAAAAATCAATGGGGGGAAAAATGTCCTTGGGTATGGATTAACAACAACAACAAAACACAGAACTAGGTTAGGAAAACAGTGAAGTTAGAAACCACTCTTTCCAAAGTATTCGCATTTTCATATCCACCAAAGTAGTCCCTTCTGGCCTGTCTCTCAGGTAAATCCAAAGATCCACGCTTTCCACCTGCCTCTCAGATCATGCCGGCCCAGAAGAGTCTATCCCTTTAGTCCACACTCCAGCTCCTTGCAATAATCTGGAACTAGTCCTAAGCCCATTTCCTTCATTTCTGATTAAACTTTCAGAGGAAAAGAATGATTTCAGGGAAATAATCTCTTGACTCCTTTCTTCCCTGATTTCAGCTCTTTATGGGTGCAGCGTCTGTCTTCCAACTTTGTTTATTTCGAAACAAAAAGGTAATATTGTAAAGCAGAAAATACTGCTGTCGTTGTTGTATTCTAATGTTCTGTAACTTAATAATTGAGTTCTACCTCCAGACTGGAAGCCAAGTACTCAAACAAGTAGTTCAAACAGTTGCTTCACCATAATTATCAGCCTTGCACTATCGTCCTTAGGGAATCTAACAGATGCAAATGCACTCACAGCCGTAAATGCTGATAAACAGGTTTGTCTCCCTGCAGCCATGCCCTATGTTTGTGTAGGAAGTGAGCCAGGGTCAGGAGCTGAGGTGGCCCCAAGGCTAACCAACAATGCTGTGCTTCTGGCTGCAGTGGAAATGGTAGGGTTGACTTAACCGGTTCAGTCTCAACCAGACAGTCTGTTTGGTGGTGCCTTGAGGCACTGAAGGTCGTCCAGATCTTCAAGATCAGACTGGCCCAACCACTTCCAGTGACCAGGAATTCACTTCTCCCAACTAATATTTAGAAAAATGTTGTGTTCAGAGAAGCCTTTTTTTTTATGCCAAAATATGCCTTCCTATATCTTCCACCCGTAGGACTCAATTCTGTATGCTGGGACTACATGGAACAAGTCTTAGCCTATACCTTGTGAGAGCCTTCCAAGTACTTGTCATGGCTGTATATTCCTACTCTATATCCAATTTTTTTTGTGTGTAAATAATGCCAATTAATCATTAGTGTTTAAATTAAAGCTTAATACTTTATTTTCTTAAAGCTATTTTTTAAAATATGTTTTTAAATATTTTTTTTTTAGAGAGAGAGGAAGGGAGAGGGATAGAGAGATAGAAACATTGATGAGGGAGAAAGATCAATTGGCTGCCTCCTGCACGCCCCCTATTGGGGATCGAGCCTGCACAGGAATGGAACTGGAGACTTCTCTGTGCATGGGATGATGTGCAACCAACTGAGCCACACTGGCCAGGGCCTCCACCTGATTAATTTGAAGCAAATCCCAAAGATCAAACCCTTTCATCTATAAATATATCAGTATATGTCTCTAAAAGGTAAAAATTCATACCAGATCACACATAAAAATTAGCAAAAAAATTCCCAAGTCGTTCATAATAGTGGCTTGAGGGTAGTTCTTCTTGTTCAGAAAAATTTCAATTTCAGCCTTGGTCTAAAAGAAAAATCTCAATTAAACTTTACCATTACTAAACCATCAAACTGCTGTTTGGTAGGGCAAGTCAGGATATTCAGCTTCTATTGCTGACAGAAAGTTCATAGAAGTGAAGACACTCAAATTCACAAAAGTGAATACAGTTAATTTTTGTTATTGGTTTAATAATACATGACAGACTCAAATGCAATCTTGCCTCACATAATGATGTTTTGGTCAACTATGGACCACATACACAATGGTGGTCGCATAAAATTATAATGGAGCTGGAAAGTTTCTATTGCCTCGTGACACCATAGCCTTCAGAATGTCATAGGACAATGCATTCCTTATGTGTTTGTGGGGAAGCTGGTTTAAGAAAACCTACTGCTCTGCCAGTCATACAAGAGTATAACACAGCCCTATCTGGTTTGGCTCAGTGGATAGAGCATTGGCCTGCAGACTGAAGAGCCCCAGGTTCAATTCCTGTCAAGGGCACATGCCCGGTTGCAGGCTCGACCACTAGTGGGGGGTGTGCAAGAGGCAGCCAATCAATGATTCTCTTTCATCATTGATGTTTCTATCTCTCTTCCTCTCCCTTCCTCTCTGAAATCAAGAAAATATAATTTAAAAAAAAGAGTATAGCACATACAATTATGTACAGTGCATAATACTTGATAATGATAATAAATGACTATGTTTCTGATTTTGTATTTACCGTACTTTTATTGTTATTTTAGAGCGTACTCTTCCTAATCATAAAATATGTTGGCAGCAGCCTCATACATATCATGTTTACCAAGTCTGTCAATTGCATCATTTTCTCTTGTGCTTGAGTCAATTTTGTGTTGTTATATAAATTCAGTAAGTGTACGTTTATAAAACTACCATAGCATACAGTAATGCCTTAGGCCCCCACTTTCACTTACCACTCACTCACCCAGAGCAACTTCCAGTCTGCAAGCTCCGTTTATGGTCAGTACCCTATAGAGATGTATCATTTTTTATCTTTTTTATCTTTTCTTCTTTTATTGATTTCAGAGAGGAAGGGAGAGGGAGAGAGAGATAGAAACATCAGTGATGAGAGCGAATCCTTGATCAGCTGCCTTCTTCATGCCCTACACTGGGGATCAAGCCTGAAATGTGGGCATATGCTCTGACCGGGAATCAAACTGTGACCTCCCGGTTCATAGGTCAACACTCAACCACTGAGCCATGTCGACCAGGCTATAATTAAGCATAATTAATATGCTTTTCCTACTATTGGACTGAATTCAATTTAATAAACTTTAGTGCAAATATGGTGGCATTGATAAAGTTAAAATGTGTGGCTAGACAAGCAATTGAAAAACTACAGGAAAAAGGTTGATTATTGAGTGGTAAAGATTTGGGAAGCCTTATAAAAGAGATGAAACTTGATCTGAACTTTAGAAGGTAAAATTTAAACTAGAGGAAAAAAGTGGAATGCTTCACAAATTTGTGTGTCATCCTTGCGCAGGGGCCACGCTAATCTTCTCTGTATCGTTCCAATTTTTAGTATATGTTGCTGCCGAAGCGAGCACCATTTTTTATCTTTTACATTCTATTTTTTTCTGTACCATTTTTATGTTTAGACATGTTTAGATACACAAATACTTACCACATCGCCTACAGCATTCGGCACAGTAACATGCCGTGGCCTAGGCGCCATAGGTTATCCCATATAGCTGGGTGTGTAGTAGGCTGTGCCACCCAGGTCTGTGTGAGTGCACTCTACGATGTCCATACAACGACGAAATTGCCGAGCGATGCATTTCTCAGGACATCTCCCTGTTGCTAAGTAGCACATGGCTGTATTTTCTGCATAGTATCTGCCGATAAATCACACGAGTAACTGCAGGCTTTAACCTTCTACTTTTTCATAAGCTTTGTAAATTTGTCCAATTAAACCTTTTCTGTTCCACACAAATTTCTACCACTAGGAGTTGTAACACATCTTAGCAGATTCCACTTCAGGTTGTTCTGTATTAGAGATTTTCTCAACTTCTTTGAAAATATTCTCACTTGTACTTGTTCTACACAGACGAACCCAATTCTTCAGTCACTTCAAACCTGGCGTTGCTACCTCAAGTAAACAACAACTGAGCAGTGCCGGTAGCATCTGTCAACTCATTAAGATACAAGGAAAAATACCCAGAACCATCAGCCTTCTTTTTGTAACAACTGTTGATGTTGCAACCAAGGTCCCCAACTCTTGGACCAACTGTTCTTACCATAGTTTGATTGTTTTAAACAGGTTTATTTTCTCTGGACACATTTCTTCAACTTTTCCAATCAAATACAATCTTATTAACTTAATATTGGTAAACCACTTTCTTTGCTTGCTAATAAGCCACTTGGAAACTTGCTTTGGTTGCAGCTTCATTTACATTTTTAATTCTTGTGAAGAAATTCTAGCTGTCCTAATTTTTTTAACTGTCACTTTCCTATGAGTTTGGAATATTGTGATTAGTGCTTAATCTGGTGATGGTGACACACATTGTGCTTAGCACAGTTGTAGCAAAATTTGAAGTCCACTTTTCTTGTTTCGACATAAAAGATATGCACTGGTAAAATAAAATAAAACAAAATGTCAGAAAATATCATGGTACAAAACTATGCTTGGCACTTGAAATGCTTTCTGAGTGCATCATGACTTACTGAGCAGCCGTATGAAGGGATGAGAGTTCCACATATGGTCTCTGTTGCAACTTTTCAAGTCTGCTCTTTTTTTTTTTTTTTTAAATATATTTTATTGATTTTTTGCAGAGAGGAAGGGAGAGAGATAGAGAGTTAGAAACATCGATGAGAGAGAAACATCGATCAGCTGCCTCCTGCACATCTCCTACTGGGGATATGCCCGCAACCCAGGTACATGCCCTTGACCGGAATCGAACCTGGGACCTTTTAAGTCCGCAGGCCGACGCTCTATCCACTGAGCCAAACCGGTTTCGGCACAAGTCTGCTCTTAAAACTCGAATACAACCATAGACAATATGAAAATAAATGCATGTGGCTGTTGTAATAAAACTTCATTTACTGATAGATATAACCTTTAATTTCAAATATTTTTCACATGTGACAAAGAGTTCTTTTTCTTTTTTTCAACGATTTTAAAATATAAGACTATTCTTAGCTTTAGGGCCATTAAAAAGAAAAAAGGCACCCTGGCCAGTGTGGCTCAGTTAGTTGAGTGTCATGCCATTCACTGAGAGGTGATCAACTCCATTCCTGGTCAGGGCATATGCCCGAGTTGGGTTGATCCCGGGGTGTGGGGTGTGGGGGGTGTGAGGGGTGTGGGTGTGTGTAGGAGTAATGCCGGTGGTCTTGATCCAGCATCTAGAAGGGCTCAGGAATCTGGAGAAGGCGCTGTGCTTAAATTAATAAAGAGTCCAGAGACAAAACATAATTTTGAAAGGCATTATGGGGAGTCAGAGAAGATTTAGCTAAAGGAACTAAGTTCTCCTTGTCTCAGGACCCCTTTCTATTTATTAACACAATTTGTCCTAAGGCAAGGTAGATATACATCAAAGGCCAGGGTTTATATACACAATCCATTGTCAGATTGGGGAATTGCCTACAGTTGTTCAGGTGTTTGGCCAGTAGGAGGCAATAACATGTAGCCTGAAATGTCCTCAGCTGTCTGGCAGCAAGCAATCATTTTATGCAACCTTTTCAGGTTTGGAGAAATGCCCTCAGCCATTTCCAGATGATTCAGCCCTACTGACATGCTGGAATTGGCTTCCGGCACAGGAGGCAGCCGATGGATGATTCTCTCTCTCCCTCTCTCTCCCTCTCCCTTCCCCACTCTCTTAAAAAAATCAATAAAAACATTTTGAAAAGTCAGTGGGCTCACAGGCCATAGTTTGCCAACCCCTGGTCTAAACTATTATACCTCTAAAAAATGCCACAGATGTGTTAGATCCCTGAATATTCACAGGTTTATTCCCTATCATCCGAGGAATACATCTCTTACCTAAGCATTCACAGCTCTAGTCACTTTCTGCTACTGGGTCCAACTGGCATGGTGTCATCAGTATAGTGGACCAGTGTCCAAAATGTCCAGGTAATCAAGGTTCATTGTCATCCTCCACGATCTATTTAATTTAAACAAGGATTAAACTGGTTAACTGAATGGGCTATTATGGAGATAGTCACTCCTGTCTCCTTTAAGTGGTTGAGAGTGAGCAACTCACTGCAGGATGTTTTATTTTTTTCAACTTACCATCTTTGCCTAGGGTTGCAGATCAGGGAGAACTTTTAGGGGTTTCCTCTTAGCCCAGGGATGGCGAACCTATGACACGCGTGTCAGAGGTGATACGCGAACTCATTTTTTTGGTTGATTTTTCTTTGTTAAATGGCATTTAAATATATAAAAGAAATATCAAAAATATAAGTCTTTGTTTTACTATGGTTGCAAATATCAAAAAATTTCTATATGTGACACGGCACCAGAGTTAAGTTAGGGTTATCCACAGCCCTTAAAATACTCAAATATTTACTTTACTCAGTGTACAGTTAATCTGATAAAAATCTGTTAGTCCCTTTGAGGAAGAATTGTTAATAGCTACTCTAAGGGCTTGCTATGGTGTTTCAGCCACCTTCCTCAAGGGGGCACAACAAGTCAATCAATAGATTCTGAATCTGAAATCCACCTCAACTCTTGAAACTAGACAAGAGACCAGATTTTCTTTGTGGTACTAACCCACTCAAGATCTTTTTTGGATATATAAATCAATTAGTACCTCATTTGCCTGCCCATACATCTTGCTCCTAGATACCATGGTTTATTAGTCCTTGCCACAGATTCTTGAGAGTCAAGGCCTCCTGGTTGTCACTCTGGCCTTGCTATTCACTCAGAGAATTGCATCAACCTGTCTTCCTAGAGGCTTATTGTGGCAATTAATGCAGCCAATTAATTTCACCAATCTTACCTTCGCTCTGATAGTTCTATGCTGTGGACTTGCTTCTGCTCTTCCAGAATCCTATTATCTCCACTGACACCAGGGAGCCCAGTTTCCCAGAAATATTTCCCAATGTCAGCGTTGGCTATGCCATCCAGGCTTGTGTAAGTGCACTCTACGATGTTCATGCAATGAGGACAGACAACACTGCCTTTGTCAGATGCTGGTGTCTCCCCCATGAAGCATTCCTTCCTGCTTCAGTGAAGACAGTGCCTCTGTGTCTCCTGGTCATTTAGTGGTTCTCTGGCGTTGCACCATCAGTCAGTTCTAAGATGCTCACCTTTCTGAGCCTTTAACCTGTTCCTCTGCCAAGGAATTCCCAGCATCTCCGCCTGATTTACTGTGAGCATCATTTTCCCCAAAGTTTAAGGAGATATTCCAGGAGCTTATTAGGAGCGACTCTAGGAGACCTTGCCAGAACGAACTGGGGGAGGAGAAAGCAAAGAGCAAAACTCAGTTCTGAGCTGAGGGGAGGGTGACACCTTGAAATGGATGACAATTTGAAGTCTTTAGCTAGGTGTACCTTTTAATACCTGAAAAGGGAGACTGTGTTAATGCCCAAGAGTGAATTGAGAGTCATTGGATCTGCCTGCGACATCTCCAAGGCACAGGAGAGAGAGCCAACAGTGTTTTTGAAGGCAAAGCTAGAAGAAAAACAGCGCTGTTCCCTCATTGTGCACTGCCAATTATAGATGGTTCAAATAACCTGTTGCACAAGTGCTGAGGGCAAAATGTGTTTCTGCCTTCCATTTCCTTGAGTTGTTTTTTCCACTTAGAAAATGTGTTACAATGAGTCATTATGCAGTATAAAACCATTAGGGTATTCTGTGTTTATAAACCTAGGGGACAAAATATGTTAAATCTGTATACCACACTATGTGAGCTGGTCTTGGAGACTGATTAAGTAGTAACCTAAGTGCAATACAAATAGTCTTAGACATGGGCTGTGGAGCTCAGCGAAGAAAACATCTCACCCATGGTATGGGGGTTGCTGGTAAAAACAGGTTTCATGAAGGAGATGGTATTTTGAAGTGATGAGTATGATTTTGAAAGAGAGAGAAAAAAGTCTTTCCAAGTAAAGGAAACAATAACAGGAAAAGGTGTGGCAGTATGATACTAGGGATGAGAATTTCAGCTTAGATGAAACAAGGGACCCATGTAGGGATGTAATGGAAAACGAAGTCTGAAAGACGCATGTGGCCTGCATCTGGAAAGTCCAGGACACCAGAGAGCAGGGTTTATATTTCCTATGGAGGTGCAGGAATGATGGATTGAAATTCAAATACTTCCCTTAGTATTTTTTTTCAAATAATTTCTTGCATATGATCTTCAAGTTCTCATTTATAAACTAAACCTCAAGATAGAGGTTGGTTCAAACTGGCCTTAGGCAGCCTGGGAGCACCCTGAATCAGCTACCTCTCTCTCCTTTGCAGGTCCACCCCCTTAGTCATGAAGCCCCCAGGACAATGAGGTTCTGGCCAGCATCACATAATCTTAGGAACAAAGCCTTGAGTCTGTTGTCCACAGAGACAGAGTTTTGGTCAATCTATAGATAACATCTTGGCCTCAGTTTTGTTTCAGCTCCAGGCCCAGAAACCAAAACCATCCCACTAAACAAATCCTTGCAAAACTAAGCAGAATGACACCAGGGCTGATATCAGGACCAGATGCAATGATCAACTATTCTCTACCCTAGTGCTAACCAATCAATGGAGACCACGAGCCTAACTCCCTTAGTCCCTTATACAACCCATTTCCTAGAAGCCACCAGGGAGCCAGGTCTTAGAGCAACAGCTCACCTGTGACTCTGGTTTTGGTGACATTTCCTTCCATAAACCTTCACTTCATTTGCTGCAATCTGCTATTCCCGTCCGATTTTGATGCATGCAGGCGAATGAAGTCCTTTTGTTTGGTAGCAGAGGCAAGTCCTGTTACTCAGGCACTGCTCCTGGATTTGGCAACCTCCTTGAAGTTCACTTACTGCCTTGCCCCATTCTGATTCTGGTCTGAGTACAGAAAGTAAATGGTTCACGACTGTGTTGGATCGTGGGAGCAAAGAGCCCTTCTTTCAGAAGTTGATCATGAAGCTTCAAGTTGAATCGTAGGATCCAGCATCAAATAGTGTGTTTACCTTGACAAGCATATGCTTTCCCCTCACTTGATCTTCAAAAGGAAGAGTTAGTAGAATACTGGTAAGGTGTCAGAAACATACCAATAACTGTCTCAGAGAGTTGGTGTGGGGATGTAAAGTGGTTATTACTTCCTGGCTCACAGTAAGCACTCAACGTTAAGCTCCCTTTACGTAGATTTTCTATAGAAGGGAGTAGCACAGAGTAAGTAATTTATCTCATACGAACTCTCTCTTTGAACACTGCCTCCCATCGGCACCAGCCCAGATAACTGAAGACATTAAATCCCTGACTAATTATATTTCCCATTCCTGCAGACATTCTTCATGAGATAGTTTCAGCCTTGCACCTTTCTATCCCATTCTGGACCCCTATAGTTTGATGCTGCCCCTCTTTGATGCAATACCTGAAATAGTACTCAATTCCCAGGTATGGGCTGACTAATGGAACAAAGAGTTCTTTTACTATAATTCTGTTTTTCCAGGCTAAGATTTCTTTAGGGTTTTGTTTTGCTTTGTTAAGTAGCCACGACTTGCCATTGACTCATATTTAGCTTCCAGCCAACGGAAACCCTTAAGTTTCTTTTCTTTTTTTCTCTCCCCCATGTGATGTTATTAAGCCATCTCTTCCCCACCCAGATCTCGGACAGTTTGTTTTTCTGTAGCTGAGTAAAGGACTTCTCATGGCTGTTAAATTCCAGCTTGTTAGATTAATTTTCTCCATTCTAGCCGTTAGTGTGTTAACAAACCTCTCCCATAGGACCAGTTAGATATCTTCTTCAAATTGGATTGATTTTCTAACGATGTCCTTTATTGACAACTATAGGGCGCAGCTACAGTGTTTTGGCCAGGTTCAAGCCTCGGACTAATGAAAGGACAGGGTCCTCTCATTGTCACGTGCAAGTCCCAGCTGGAGGGCAGGGCCCTCCCAGCACAATCATAGCCAACGGCTGTGGTTGTAAGCTTGAACCTATGGTCCGAACACGTGGCCCCACGTGCCTTGTGAAAGAGTTCAGGTGCATGTAGTTGAGTAGGGTTGAAACTCACGAGAATGCTGTAAACAACTTGATCATGCCCCTACTTTGCCTCGTGACATCTGCTATAAAATAAAGACATGGCTTGTGGGCGCTGGCGCTGTCTCCTCATCAGGGAGCAGCATCCCACCGAGACCCAGCTTTCATTCTCTTGTCTGTCTTTTCTCAATTCTTTCACCCTCCCCCCTGTCCCCCCCCCTCCCTCAGGATCACCTTTGGCCGTAACAGACAACATTGCTAAAAAGTTTTACTAGGACTTGAGGCAGCACAAAGCCCTGTGACCTGCCACAAGAAGCTTCCTAACAGGTTGAAAGGAAATTCAGTAAGTACTAGTCTTTGGATATGGTCATTCAACTGGATATGAATTCACTTACTTGATCTAGAAACCAGCTTACATTATTACATATTTTCTAAAATAAATCATGAGGCATCTTGGCAAATGCCTTGTCCACAAACACAATTTATGCTGAATTCACTCCTTTTTCTAGTCTAGAAACTCTATCAAAAACAGAAATAATTACTGTGGAATGGTGTACTGATTGTCAATACTGTATTTATCACTATCTGGGGTGCACTTTCCATCTGCCTTCCCTACAAAAGGTGCTTTCTAAATGTACCCCCTTTTGTACGGAGGCAGTGTGGCACTGTGATTAAGAGCATGGAGGGTTTAAAGCCTGGGCTCGAGCCTTGGCTTCCCTAGTTAGTGGCTGTGTGAACCTGGGCCATTTTCTCACCAAACGATGCCTCAGACTTTTCATCAGTAAAATGGGGAAAATAATAGAACCCACATCAGAGGGTTGGCATGAGGACTGAATAACTTAATATTTGTAAAGCATTTAGAAAATCTTCTGGCACATTAGTAAGCAATGTAAAGATTCTTGTTTAAGTGAACAGGTGGAAAAAATAGATTTGGTAAACAGACGTCAGACTGCAGCCAAAACTATGCATTTAGGATATCCTTCAGCAACAGACTATAGCAACACAAAACATCATAGCAAACGTATAAGCTGTAGTTTTTTGTTATGTTTTTAACAAAAATAACCCACAAGCCATGGAATGACTAGAGGTATTAGAGTCTCTGGTAACTTACCAACACTTAGACGAATTTTTTTTCTCAGGAGAATATATTGAATCTCCAGAACTTAGGGTCTATTACTGTCCAGTATGTATCTATATCTATACTAGAGGCCTGGTGCATGAAATTCATGCGGGGGGGGGGAGGCAGACCCTCAGCCCAGCCTGTGCCCTCTCTCAGTCTGGGACCCCTTGCTCCTTAGCACCCACCTGCTCACTGCTCCTTACGGCTTGGCTCGCTGCTCCTTAGAGCTGCTGCAGAGGCGGGAGAGGCTCCCACCACTGCCGCTGTGCTTTCCAGCTGTGAGTCCGGCTTCTGGTTGAGCAGCACTCCCCCTGTGTAAGTGCACTGACCACCAGGGGCTAGCTCCTGCGTTGAGCGTCTGCCCCCTGATGGTCAGTGCACATCATAGCGACCAGTTGTTCTGGTCACTTAGCCTTATCGCCATTAGGGCAGAACAATCAGAACGACTGGTCGCTATGATGTGCACTGACCACCAGGGGGGCAGACGCTCAACATAAGAGCTGCCCTTTGGTGGTCAGTGTGCTCCCACAGGGGGAGCTCCGCTCAGCCAGAAGCTGGGCTCATGGCTGGCGAGCGCAGCGGCGCTGGTGAGAGCCTCTCCCGCCTCCGTGGCAGCACTAAGGAGCAGCAAGCAGGTGGGCAGTAAGGAGTGAGCGGTCCTGGAGTGTGAGAGGGTGCAGGCCGGGCTGAGGGACACACTCCTCTCCCCCCCACCCACAGCGCACAAATTTTGTGCACCAGGCCTCTAGCATATTCATATTAATGAATGTATGCTTTCCACCTCCAAATAATTTTAATACTTTAATGGGTACTAGATAACTAAATACACAATTTAATACTTTTATTACTTTTCTTTCATCAGAAAAAAACCCAGATAAAGTTGGTTTACCTCTTAAGTTCCTGTGTATTTTATACTCTATTTTTTTTTAGATTGAGGTGATATTTACATAACATAAAATTCACCTATTTAAAGTGAACAATTCAGTGTCAGTACATTCACAATGTTATACAACCATCACCTCTATCTGGTTCCATAACATTTTCATTACCCCAGAAGAAAACCCTATTACCATTAAGCAATTATTCCCCTTTCCCCCTGCCCCCAGATTCTGGAAACTACCAATCTGCTTTCTGTCTCTGTGGACTTACCTGTTCTG